TGGGGAATTCTGGGAGTTGAAGTCCACTCATCTTAAAGTGGCCAAGTTTGGACAACACTGATTTAGCTCAGTACTGTCTACACTGGCTAATGGTGGCCCTCCAGAATATCAAAGCAAGTCTTGGCCAGCCCTGTTTTGAGACAAGGACCGAACCAGAGAGCTTCAAGTAGGTCCCATAGACAAGCAATTGGAAAGTCCTTCCTAGAACGTTTGTCTAGTACAGAGGGAGGGCTGATCTGCTTGATGGAGTTCACAAACCCATGGCTAGGAATAGCCACCTTCATTCCCCCCTTCCCACCATGAATGCAGGGTTTTAATGTTAAAAAGGGGGCAGGACTTCATTTGCAGCACTGTGTCAGCTATCTTGCAGATGTTGACACATGCATCCCACAAACTCCCCTGCTTGGACTTCTTTTTCCCTGGCCAGGTATTCATTACACAAGTAAGCATCCTGGGCAGAGACAGGAAAACAAAGCCAGGGTCAGGGGTGTACTCAGGATAGGGTCAACAAAGTCAAGAGGGCAGCCAGGATTGTGCCACTGACATTCTCTTTATCGGCACCGCACATAACAAAAACAGGGAAAGCTTCAATCGCACCCTCATGGCTAGAAGTGCTGTGCAAAGATGCAGTAAGGAGACTGAATTCGATTGTGTTTTGATCAAACTGCTGAACCAAATCAACATTCCAGATGGAATCACTGAATCGATTCAAAGCATCGAAATGGATTTGGGGCAATTTGATTCAGGGGATACCTTGGTGCCTCTCCCGTTTGCCCCAAAGAAGCAGCTGTTCTTTCTATATTTGGGCAAAGATTTTGGGTTGGGGTGGAAGACGTGATGCGGCCTTGGTTAGGAATATGGCTAACAGGACAATTCGTTTTATGACCACATTAAACCCTGTTGGCTGTTAGAGCCATTTGGGGTGGGATGTAATCTTTTTTCCTCTTGTTTCTTTTTGGTTTTGGCCTTTTTCCTTACTCTGAAATTGTTTGCTTTAGGCTGAAGCTCTCTTAAATGAGACAAGGAGTGAAAGAATATATTCAGCTGGTCTTTCTTGCTCAGCTGTTTGTTCTTAAGCATGATCTGTCTTGGACCATTCCGTATACTACTGATCCTTCTGTTTATTTCATCTTGTCCTTTTTAGTGTTCCTGGGTTGGGTGGCACCACTGGAGGACATTCTGGGACTGTTCCATGAAAGATCTGCCGCTACTTCTGCTTATGCCGTTCCATCACTGCTTTCCATCCAACTTTTTCAGTCTTCTATTCACAGTAGCAGGGATGACATAGTTCAGGGGTAAAGAAGAACTAAGCTTTTTTTTTTCTTTAAAGAAGCATTTCTAAGGACCAGATCTTTGAAAAATCAGAGATTTTTCTGCTACAGCCCTTTTTAAAACTAGTCCCTATGTAATGGAGTAGCAGAATCTCCTGATGAATAGGAGAAGCAACATGGACCTGGTCTTGCCCTACTGCTGGTGGAAAAGCAAATGAGTTATTACAATCACTTATTGCAAACCTGTGATGTGATTTGATGTGATTTGATTTGATTTGATTTGATGGAGAAGAGAAACTGAGGCCTCCCTTTTTCCAAAACACCATTCACCTCTTTGGAAAACAGTATCTTGGGAGGCTGATGGCCAAGAATGCAAGCAATGAGTCAAGGAGGCCTAAGTTCAGATCTTTCCTCATCCAAACAGATGCTAGTTCCCAGTGCCATCCATCATCCTCAACTCACCCAGAAGGGGGAAAGAAAACATTTGTGGCCTTTTCCATTTGATCTTAGGCTATAATTCTAAAGAACGTTCCTAGGAAATGAATTACACGCAGCACCAGATGATTCCTGACACACCATTCCATGGGAAAGAGTAGGCAACGTTTTGCAGTGGGGACATCATTGAGGGGATTGCATTAATTTCTTCTGCCTCTAGGAACCTTATGGAGACATGGCAGTGATGCAGCAATGTTGCCCAAGACAGCAGGACTGAAATTTTCAGAGCATTGTGGGTCTGGGAAAGAATGTTGGATGGGTTGGAGGAACACCATGAGTCCATTCAGCCCTCCACTCCTCACTTAATGAGTGAACTCAGTCACCAAAACATGGGAATAATATTGCCCCCCCCCCTCAACTTTTTTGCTATGAAAATTCTATGGAAAAGCCAGGGTGTTCCAAGCACAATCATTTTCAAGATACGCTTACCTACCTCTTTTTTAGCTATTCCACTGTTCTGTCTCAGCCTGACCTACCACATGCAATTTTTATTAGAAAAAGCAGTTTGAAATGGAAGAGTTGTGTACCCTACTCTAAGCTCCTGGGGAAAAGGTGGGATATAAATCAGCTAATCAAGAAATGAGCTAATTTCAAGGCACTTTCTTCTACGTTGCAGTCCAACTGGGAAGAATGACATTTTCATGTCGGTGAAAGAGCAAATTTCCTTTTAGAAAGATATGTTTTAAGGGATTCAAGCACAAAAGGCAGTTTATGAAGTCGTGTGCAGGCATTGTGGAAGTAAGGATAGTTTCCCAAGAGACAAAGGTATGGAGAGGTATCATAAACAGTCAGGTGGGTCCATCGGGGGAATCAACAGCATCAAAATGGTGAGCATGACCAGCTGCTTGAAGCCCCACCTCTTTTAAACACATGTTGCGCCCCTCACATGCAGGTTAAACAGAGGAGGACTTTGATCACTCCAGTCGGGTCCACCAATTTGAGCTGCTGTCCTCCCCAGCAAACATCTCCATATGTAGTGTTGCTGTAAACCAGTTTTTGTTATACTGTATTTCCTTTCCTTTTTCTTATCTTATGCTTTCAATATTTTTGGTGTATTATTGCCAGCCTTGCAAGGTAGTCCAGACAAGAAGGACACCCAGAACTACTAGCTCTAAGTTTATTGGAAGGTTACATTAACAGAATCTTGCAAGTCTGAAAGTACCTCTCTCCCCATTCGCCTTTACAGTCCAAGAAACTAGAGAGCTTCTGAGATGTTTTCCACACCACCATTCCTTCTATGGGCTCAGCTGCCACTTATCTGACCATTGTCTAGTCTGTGATTCTTCCACCTGTCTCCCAAGGTCATTCTCACATACCATTACAACTATTTCTCCTTTTCTAAACTCTTCATGGTGTTTCCTACCTTGAAGAGAAATAGAAGAGATGGCTATGTACGCATGCATCAATGTCCACAGGACAGAGGGGAGCAGTAGAGGTAAATGATGAAATGTATAGTACAATGTCATAACACAATTCCCTCCTTTTCTATTTGACCCGTGATGTCACAATGCATGTTTCTTCATTTTGATGGAAGCCCATTGTCTGTGGATCACCACGTAAGTACATATGTATTTTTAAGTCATGAGTGAAAAAAGGTTAGTTACCTACCTATTTTTTCTCAACACATGCCACTTATTTTATTGAATTTCAATTGTAGTGTACTATGTAATGAACTAGAAGAAGCTTCTAATCATAGATGTTGTCCAGTTTAACGTTTGACACTTGGGATAAACAATGCCACCCTTGCTATTTAAACTGAATACCCCTAATTAGCCATTTCAGCCAATTGAGAATATTTTTTTCCTTAATCAATACCAGGGTAGAAAGTGTTGAATGTGGCAATGTAATGAATAAAGTGACCCTAAACAGGGTGGGGTAAAAACAAATATTAAGGATGTAAATAAGGGCCAGGGCTTCAAATATGTAGTTATAGTAGCCATTCTGATTTTTTTGACACCGTCCCTTGCACATGGCCCTTCAGCTACTAATGGTAGGTAAAACAATTGCTCCCTGGACAGGGAATCTTGAGCAATTATGGAGATAGGAACACGGTCTATGAAAATAATCTCTTCTCTCCTCAGTCGTTCTTGGATCTAAGCCTCATCTACCATTTCTACTTCGGCAGCTGCCTACAATATCTCAGTAATCATCACACCCCAAATTCCCAGAAACACAAATCAATTTAATTGTGCATGTCTGAAAGACGTGGGAACTGAGGAAAAGTATCTCACCTAAGGCTATTGAGCAATTGGAGCCTACACTGAGATGCAAGCCAAGAGCCAACATGGTTCACCATCCTACGTATTCTCCATTCAAGTTGCCCCTTTCTGCATTCGTCTTGACCAAGATCCATGAGGGATTTGGCTGTCACTGATATCTCCCATTCCACCCACTTTAAGAAATTACTCAAAACATCCTCCAGGGCAGCCATACTCTGGTAACTATAAAACACAACACATTCAGCAGTCAGCGTTGGGACAGAGCTCATTCCACAGATGCAATGGCTGCTAGAATTCTTACTCTCTGCCTCCTGTCTTCAGTCTTAGCAACTGGTAAATATAACCTTATCTCAGAGATAACAGAAACTTGGGGAAAGGGAGAACTCATGAGTGGGTAACAAGATAGAGGAGGAACTGGTGACTTGTCAAGTAGATTTCTCACTAATGTCTCTGTTTTCTCATTAAAATATGCTGCTGATATAGTTTGAGGATATTTGGAAACATAAAGGTGAGCAACTTACATGTGATTGTTACTTCTGAAAACACTGAGGTTTGCTTCATTTAGAAGTCTTCGGAATCTTTTTCTGAAACATTCAGCATTTGCTACTTTCTAGAAAATCTCAAAATTTGCTCTGCTGTGCTTTCTAGTCAACTTTTCCCAATTCAGCAGTGCTCCAAATATGTAATCATCTACTGCCATCATTCACAGCAATGAATCCTGGGTTCACCTTCTTTATACAGAAGTTAGAACTAAATTCTGATATCACTCTTCATAATCCTAGCCTATTCCTACACCTTGATCCAAATATACAACCAGTAGGATATCAAAAAAGTCAAGATGGGGACCCAACAGTGTGATCAAAGCCCTGCCTTTCTATAGGCATGCAATGTCATGACACATACAAAAGGTGTAGAGCCACGATCTTGATTTTTTTGAGTCCTCTCCATGGATGCCATTGCATACTATACAGAAACAATACTGGATAGAAGCCTAGAAGAAAGGATTTTACCACTAAGCATGTACTTTCAAAGAAAGCTGATTTTTGTTGCCTTACCCATAATTCACATAGATGGCGAGGCATAGGTAAGCTATATTACCTTCTTTTTTTCTCTTCTGTTTGCAGTGACACCCCTAAAATGCCAGTCCTGTTTTGCCTCCGGAGGACAATGTAGAAATGAGGATATGAAGATGATGGAGTGCAATGGAGATGAAGACATTTGTGCTTCTATAATTTTCCGTTCTACTTTTAGTAAGTGATAACATGTTTCTAGCTGAGAACATGTATTCATCCTATGCCATTTGGGATCATCAAAAGGTGGCATGCAGATGTCACTGGGGAGTGGATGAACTCTCCTTCAGTGGATGTTTTCAAGCAGAGGCTGCTATTGTTCTATACTTCAATTTTCACATCTAGGCTTTCAAAAACCATACCATCCTCCCAACTGCCAACATCCAGAACTAAGGGCATTCCAACTTTAAACCTAAGCAGGCAGAATTTTTTTTTTAATTTCTTCATTTGCTTGAATTGCTAATCTTTCTTTTTCTTTTTTCACAGCTACTCCTCCACTTAGTTTGATTATGAAGAGATGCTCAAAAAGCAAGGAATGTTTCCAAGGTTATTATAGTACTACTTCGGTGAATGGCAGATACCTACAGGGACATATGTACTGTTGCCAGACAGACAACTGTAATGCACCAACAGTGCTTAGTAAGTTTCTGCACTTGAATGCAACCTTCCATAAAAAAAAAAAAACATATTCAAGACAGAAGACACAACTCACTAGGTAGGGCATAGCATGAGAATCCTAAAAAACAGTGGTTATCAAGGAAGTGAGAAACATAACTTGAACCAACATCTGTATTGGTGCAATAGCCTGTAGAGATCAGGAGCAGGCAATGGAGTTATTGTTCATAAAATTTTAAAATTCTATTGTTGATGGTGTCTAGAGATTATCTATAAAGCTGTAGTGTTTTTTGCCCTCTACTTTATACAGCAGTAAAGATGAAGGTGTCAAAGAACTACACCTTAATTTGACATAAATAGAATGTACCTAATAGTATAGGGATTACATATCCCATCCTGTCTAGGGGATCTAGACGAGATGGCTTGAGAGGATCAGGTTGGAGAAGGACATAATAGGCACTGAGGAGGGGATGGTGGTGATGAAACCATTTGCTAACTGAGAAGTTGGTTCCTGCAGTGCCTTGGCGTCGTGAGCTTCTCTCCAACGGATTACAATGCCCAGGCTGCTTTGAGGAAAATGTGGATTCTTGTGAAGGCACCCAGCCTGTGGTCTGCCTTGGAAATGAGGACCAGTGTGTCAGTTTGTCTGCTAACCTAGTTGCAAGTGAGTAGATTTTCTTCCTTGCTTGCTTGACTTCTTGCTCTCTTGTTATTCTGATTGGAAACAAGGAATGACAGCTAGACATCATGCCCTCTGCCTGAGAATTCCATGGCAGATGGCACAGTGCCACCATCGGGCAATCCTCTCTGGAAGAAAATGCATGATGGCTTTCTCCAGACTTAGTAGTTGTAATAAAAGCCTAAAGTTGGCTTTATGGACTCAGGCTCCCATTCATCAGTATGGTGCAGAGGGCTCACCAGAGCTGTCTCTCTAGCTTTGGGGGAAGGAAGGAAACCAGCATGGTCTCAAAATATCTGCTAGAGAAACATTCATACATGCTTAGCCTCTTTTTTTATTTCCAGTGGGAGCAATCAATCTGAAGTATGCTTTGAAAGGTTGTACAACGAAGAATGCATGCATTTATCCCAAGGGAGAGACTCAAGTAGTCAATGGTTTGTTTCATGCAAATGTATCAGGAGTGGAGTGCGAAAATCCTATGAAAGTGTCCGGAGTTTGGAATAATGTGAACAACAGCTAGGATAGGACAGAACGTCTTTCTAGCGTATGCCATGATTTGTAAAAGTGAAGAGGGGTTTGGGGAAAATGATGAGAACAGTAAGGGTTTGAGATCAAATACAGGTAGTCCCCAGTTTAAGAACAAGTTCTGTTCCCAAGGTCTGTCCTTAAGTCAAATTTGCATGTAAGCCAGAAACTATTATTGTATAATACTCTATAAGTAGTATTGTGTAATGAACTCAACCCATTGTGTATTTAACTCAAATTTTGCTACAATAGACTCCATTCTTAGCTATGGGTCTTCTGTAACCCAGGCATTCTTAACCCAGGGACCAGTATTCTTGAGTTTCTTAATGCTGGAAATACTGAATTAGGATACAAGAGTTTAAATATTATGCTAGATCACCTGTGCAAAGGATGTAGTTTGCTTCTGATTGTCTGGTTTTCACTGAAGCATGACAAAAATAAATGGTTCTGCCAAGGAACTCTGTCTTATATGTCTTTCTAGTGAGTATTTGATGCACCATTTAAGAAACAATGGTTAAAGCAGTTGGTCTCCCACCCTAGGTAATCCATACCTGAGTAATCACAGCCACCCTCTTACATATTCATTCATTCATTCATTCATTCATTCATTCATTTGTGACTCTGGGTGGCTCACTTAACTAAAACAACCACAAAGCAGTAAACAAATTATAAAAGCAACAGAATCAATAACCCCATTAAAACCAAATTAAAAACTATAAAACATAATCAGCAGGAAATTAGAAGTCATGCATAAATCAGTACAACCATATCACATTCTACACTGAAATACTTCCCTCTAAGCTCTAATAATCTGGGCTCATTGACATTCTGCCTTTTTTTCTGAAAAAGTCAAGTTTGTGGCAAATGGCATATTGTTTTGCAGTAAAAGAACAAAAGAGAAACCTGTAATGTAATGCTGTTTACTGTTCTACCTGCCACAAGAGTGTACACGTGGGACTTCATTAGAAGATTTTAAACTCTTGACTTTCTGCATTGGCCTTATGGGCAGACCATATCGTGCTCCCCTTTAGATCATGAACCCCAATTTAGGAGATTGAGAAGTCCCAAGTCCAATTTTTGAGAAAAGCAAAGGATTGAAATTTTCAAACTATTAAAGGTTTGGGAGAGGGGGCTAGATGAGTTGGAGGGGCAAAGCGAGTACATTCAGCTTCACCACTTGGTGAATGAACTAAGTCAGCAAAACATGGA